CATCAGGATTGTTAGCAGCCTCCTAACAGGGTTTCACTCTATTGTTTTGGGGAGTTTTTTTAAGGTAATTTACTGTTTCGTTCTGTAATCAGAGCTGCAGGGAGCACGCAGCACAACCTGCACTAAGTCATCAATTTTGTGCGTGTGCTTGAGCACGATGTCAGAATATTTGGAATGGGATGGGTGGACCGATGGGTGGATTTCCCTGTGTGTGTCACACATGGTGTTTCTGATCAAGAAGGAATTCCGATTATCCCATTTGTTTCATTATACTACACGGAAAGCAATAACCACATATTAAAGAGACAATGCATATGTGTCTTATTTATGATTCCTTTCCTAAGGAACTGGAGGATTTGTCTGAAATTGGAAGTATTAGATTTTCTCTGGTAGGCACCTTCCTCCATTTTTATGGATATTCCATCAAAAGAATGATCCATAGATTGTACAGCTGAAAGTGTAATTGGAAAAAAAAAAAACACAACAAAACAAACTTCAGATAATCATGAAAAGTGTTACATACATACATTAAGGATTACTGCTAATTAACCAACATCAACCAAGCATAAACACAGACAAAGCTTACTGGGACTGGTTCTTCACGCTACATTGCAGCAAGCTGTCATTAGCAACTCCGTTAGGAAGCAGCAAGACAAACTGTGACAGTAAGTCCTTCTGATCGCTGCAGTGCTTAGAGAACTAGTCCAGTGCCCAGTAACTGAACAGGTTCAGACTCCTCCGACAACAGTAAATTACAGGATAATTCTTAGCCACTTTTCATTTTCAAGGGTGCAACTACGTGTCTACAGTGGTAAAACACACATGTGAGAGACGGACAGACAACATAAATATAGATTGCCACACAGAGGGTAACAGCAGTCTGCTTTTTAAAAATTATGTCAGGGGGGTGGGAGAAAGGTTTGTGATAGTGAAAAGCCTACGGCCTTGAACGCACGGTCGTCTTTGTTCTTGAAAACAACCAAGTCCATGAATGCCAACATGCCACACACAAAACAGAAACTTAGGTATCTAAGTTTAACTATACTGTTAACTTTACTCTACTTGAACTATTCTATCCTATTTTATTCCACTCTGCTGCATTAAGATGGGTTTTCCTTGCAACCACTGGACATTAAAGCTTTGATTATACAACTACAGACTAACTTGAGATATATGGTGGTATAGCATGTGGTTAAAAATTTACTTAAAAAAATAAAATCTTTTTTTTATAATGGTTTAATTTACAGATGAAAGTTTAAAAGTGTATGTATTCCAAAGCATGCAATTGTTTGTGAAACTCTACGCTTGTACATTGGCCTGCGTGTGACTGGAACCTGGTTCCTATGGGGAGGGGGGTGCTCACACTTACCCGTCCGGTAGAGTATCGGGATGTGGTCAGTGGAGAGCTTGTGCTCGCTGCGCACTCCTATTAGCAGGGGGCTGCCTCGCCTGCAGGAAGACACCGAGTTACAACCCTCAGCGCCCAAAGATTCATCACCCTGACATCCAACCTGAAGGGACTGCTGTCCTCCAGCACGGCAACTGAACTGAACTCAAAAAGAGCGAGCTCCTCCCAGATAAGTTGTTAGTGCTGCAAACACAGGAGGCCACAAGACAGAGCGAAAGAATCTCTGAATAAACACAACGCAAAGACATGAGGAATCTGTCTCAAGTTTAGCGGAAACTCTGCAAGAGTAACCGCAATCCCACGGACACTTGAACCGGGAACACGCCGGCTGTTGCTCACTGTACGTATCTACAAACAGCTATCGGCACTGAAATTCAAAAACCCGTGCTAGGCACATGTATGGTTAAACCAACCCGACCGATGCTGACGTTTAAAAGTGGCGTAGAAAACGCCTACACCAGGCTGGCCCAACTTCAAGTCAAACAGAGGACTTGTCCAAATGCTGCCACAAAGACAAAGGAAGAGAGAAAACCAGCTTTCAAAGCCCTCACAACCAGAGTCTACAAAAAAAGCTGTTCCAGACCAGTTGTGATACAGGTGGTCACTATGAAATTTTCGAAACATTTTTGGGAATTTTCTGTTATGATAAATGGAAAACAAGAGAAAGAAAATGAAAAACAGCAGCCACAGCCACCCCAGCATATACAGCGCGATGAGAACAACCTCTACTCCATCATCTTCTAACTTGAGGGGACCAAAAAAAAAGGGACATATAGGGTGCAACAAGAACGTTCTTTCCCACAGCAACACTTACCTGGTACCGACCGCTTGACCAGGATAATGAACACTTTTGAACACAAGGGCGAAAGCACCTTCCTGGAACGAAAGAAATACAAACTGTTTATCCTTTCATTCGAGGCCTGGGCGACCATTTCAGGATTCCCAGCACAGAAGCTGCACCCGTGTTTCTACAAACAAGAGGTACCAAACAGAAGACTTCACGGCCGTCTTCAGAACCACCAAAAGCTCTGGAAGGGCGTCCCTCCCCCGAGCCCGGGTTGCTCATCCTCAACCGCCTCATGAGTCTTCTGGACTTCCAGACAGACACTGCACTTGGACATCTGTGGCTACACGTGCAAGTGTTCCTGCGTTAGTTCAGAGTGCAGCGAGGGGACTTACAAAGGCAATCACCTGGCAAAAGAAGCGCCAAAACGTTGGGGTGTTTGCTCAGGTGTGGTGCCACCGAACGTAGAGGTGAGCCACCGTAGTCTGCCAGCAAAACGTGTCCTGGGTCTATCGCTACTAACAGCTCCGGCCGGGCAAATCGGCAGGATTTGTGCACAACTCGGCAAGAACTGACACGTGGAACCACACGCTATGCAGCGAAGTTCCCACAAGGGGTCAGCATCTCTTCCAGATGGAGGTTTCGGGGAAGATTTGAAGCACGGACTTATTTTCACCGTCCCACACCGGCTCCCACCCCCTGCATGCTCGCCACCCCACACACCAGGGACTGGCTGCCTCGAGATACTGTTGTGCCCCAAAATTTAGACATTTGTCACATGAGTATTGCCTAATGTTGAGGAAAAACGAATGTATGTCTGAGATGAACTGTCAGAGGTGGGAAAGACAACAACACTCCCCAACGTGTGCTGCAGAACGTCCTGTGGCACAGTCTGGCACAGGCACGGTGCTGCGCCAGCCAGCTTACCCTGGGCAATACTGGAGTGCAGTTGTGCCTGTGTCTGTCTGTCTGTATTGGGGTGTGTGTGTCCCTGTCTGTCCCCATGTCCCCACCCACCCCTTGCTCCCAGCCTTACCAGCTGCTGGATGACCCTCTCCACCAGGGTGGTGAAGCTGATGTCGTCGCTGTCCCGGTTGTCGTACATGTACTTGACCAGTTTGGCGATGCTCTCCGTGTCCGTCTCCGACTCGAAGTCGTAGCCCTTGCTCTCCTGCAGCAACAGCACGCGTTGGGTAACCAGCCCTCTGCCTTCCCTTCCCACCTTGCTCTTCCTTCCTTCTTTCGTTTTCTCATTTGCTTTTCCTTCCCTTTCCCTCCTTTTTCCTTCCTTTGTTCCTGCATTTCCTTTTCCTTCCTTTCTCCTGCCTTTTTCTTCTTTCCTGCCTTTCTTTTTTCCTTTTCTTTTATTCCTCCCTTTCCTTTTCCCTGCCTTTAACTTTTCATTCCCTCTTTTTCTCATGCCTTTCCTTTTCTTTGCTCCGGCCTTCCTCCCCACCTTTCCTTTTCCTTCCCTTCCTTTTTCTTTCCTTTTTTCCTGACTTTCTTTTTTCTTTCCTGCCTTTCCTTTTTTTCTTGCTTTTATCCTTCCATACTGCATTTCTTCCTTCCTTTTTTCTTCCTCTCCTTTTTTCCATCCTTCCCTCCTGCCTTTCCTCCTCTTCTTTTCTTTCCTGCCTTTCCTTTTTCCTTTTCTCTCTTCCTTCATACTTTCCTTTCATCCTTCTTTCCTGCCTTTCCTCTTCCTTTTTCTTCTCTTCCTTCTTTCCCCCCTACATTTCCTCTTCCTTCCCTCCCGACTTTTCCCCTCTTACTTCCTGCCTTTTTCTTTCTTCTTTCCTGCCTTTCCTTTTTATCCTTCCTGCCTTTACTTTTTCCTTCCTTCATCCTCCTTCCTTCATAATTTCCCTTCTTTCATCCTTCTTTCCTGCCTTTCCTTTTCCTTCTCTCCTGCATTTCCTCTTCCCGTTTTCCTTCCTTCCTGACTTGTCTTCCTTCTCTCCTGCAAAATTTTCCTCTTCCTTCCTGCCTCTCCTCTTCCCCCTTCCTGCCTTCTTTCCTCTTTCTTCTTTCCTGCCTTTCCTTTTCCTTCTCTCCTGCATTTCCTCTTCCTTTCCTTTTTTCCTTTCCTCCTGCCTTTTCCCTCCTTCTTTCCTGCCTTTCCTTTCCTCTTCCTTCCTCATACTTTCCCCTTCTTTCATCCTTCTTTCCTGCCTTTTCCTCTTTTTTTTCTTCCTTCTTTCCTGCCTTCCTTTTTTCTTTGCTTTCTTTCCCGCCTTTCCTTTTCCTTCCCTCCTGCATGTCTTCTTCCTTCCATTTTTCCTTCCCTTTTTTCCTCTTCCTTCCTTCTTTCCTGCCTTAGTCCTTCCTTCTTCCCTTTTCCTCTCCCGACTTTCCCTTTTTTCCTTCTTTCCTTTTCTCCTGCTTTCCTTCCTTGTTTCCTTTTTCCTTCCCTCTTTCCTGCCTTCCCTTTTCCCTGCCTTCTTTCCTGGCCTTCCTTTTTCCTCACCCATCCTTCTTTCCTTTCTTTCCTCCTCCTTTTCCTGCATTTCCTCTCCTTCCCTTTCTTCCTTCTTTTTTCCTTCCTCTCTCTCTCCCTCGGACTCCTTTTCCTTCCTCCCATTTCCTTTTCATTCCTTTCCTTCCCTTCCTTTTCTTGCCTCCCATTTCCTTCCTTCTTCCCTTCATTCTTTTTCCTTTCCATTTCCTTCATTTCCTTGCCCTCCTTTTCACTTCCTTTCCCTTTCATCCCTTCCTCTTCCCTTTTCCATCCATCTTTCTCCTCCACCCGGATGTGCCTCCCTCCTTTTCCTTCTTTCCCTTCTCCTTCCCTCCTGCCTTCCCACTCCGTCAGCGCGAGTGAGGGCGAGCGGGAGAGTACAGGAGGGGTGGGTGTGAGCGTCCGGGAGAGCGAGGATGAGAGCGCGTGTGAGTAGAAGAGTACGTGCGAATGGAAGAGTGTGTGTGAGCACGCACACGACTGCAAAAGGGAGGGGGAGAGTACGTGCGTGTGCGAGAGAGTGATGTGACTGCAAGGGGGAGTGTGAGTGGGGGCTGAGCGTGCACATAGAGTATAAGTGGGAGAGCGGGTGTGAGGCTGCGAGTGGGGGAACCAGCAGGGCAAGTCGAAGTGGGGAAGTGGGGGGAGGAGTGGGAGTGAGTGGGGGAACGAGGAGGTGGAGCGAGTGGAGGAGTGTGAGCGGTGGAGTATGAGTACGGGGTGAGAGTGAGTGGGGAGCGTGAGTAAGGAGTGTGAGATGAGTGCATGACTGGAGAGTGTGGGCAACGGGGTTGTGAGTAGGGGAGTGACGAGGGTGAGTGGGAGGGAGAGGGTTAGTGGGGGAACGAGTGGGGGCATATGAGTGGGGGAGTGTGAGTAGTGAATCAAGCACGTAAGTGGGAGAGAGTGTGAGACTAGGAGTGGGGAACGAGGCAAGTGAGTGGGGGAGTGAGGAGGAGTGTAAGTGGGAGGGTGAGGGTGAGTGGGCAAATGAGTGCAGTGAGTGGGAGAGTGTGAGTTAAGGAGTGAGTGTGCATATGAGCAGGGGAGTGAGGAGGGTGTGTGGGAGTGGAGGAGACTAATGAATGAGGCGAGTGGGGGAGTGAGTGTGAGTATGAGTGGGGGAATGGGGTAGTGAGGGGTACGCTGCGAGTGAGGGAATGAGGAGCAAGAGGTGGCGTGGGGGGTGCAAGAGGTGGGGGTGAGTGCAAGAATGTGAGTGAGGAACGGGGTAGTGAGTTGGGGCCTGACTGAAGGGGTGTGAGGGGAGTGTGCGTGGAGTGAGGGGGTGAGTGAGGGGGTGAGAGTAAAGGAGCGAGTGGGGGAGTGAGTGGGAGAGGAGGAGGAGGGGGACTGTGAGTGGATGAGCATGCGTGGAGGAGGGAGAAGGAGGGAGTAGAATAATGAGGGGTGTGTGAGTGGGGGAGTGCAAATAGAGTGAGTGTGAGAACGTGAGTGGGGAACAAGTGGAGGAGTGCGAGTGGGGGAGAGAGTCGGGGAGGGAGAGAGTTTAAGTGGGCGAGTGCGAGTTGGGGGAGCATGAGTGGGAGAATAAGAGTGGGGGAGTGTGAATGGAGGAGAGGGAGTGCGAAAGGGAGAGTGAGTGGGGGTGTGAGGGATCGAGGGGGGAGTGTAAGTTGGGGCGTGCAAGTAGGGTAGTGAGTGTGAATGCGAGAATATGAGTGGGGAATGCGGTGAGTGGGGTGTGAGGAGGAATGTGAGTGGGAGGGTGAGTGTGAGTGACGGGAGTGTGAGTGAGGTAGGGAGGGAATGGGGGGATGTAAGTGTGAGAACACACAGAGTAGGAGAGTTAGTGTGAGAGTGTAAGTGGAGGAGAGCGAGCATAAATATGAGCAGGAGCAGGAGTGTGAGTGCAAAAATATGAGTGAGGGAACATGAATGGAGGAGAGTGAATGTGAGTGGGGGAGCAAGTGCGAGAATACGAGGCGGGGAGTGAGCGGCGGAATGTGAGTGGAGGAGTGCGAGTGGGAAAGTGAGTGTGAGAATACAAGCTGGGGAGTGAGTGGGAGTGGGAGAGTGAGGGAGTGAGTGTCACACACACAAACACACACGGGGGTCACTCACCAGGAATTTCCGCAGGTCTTTGTAGTTGGTGATGATGCCGTTGTGGATGACGATGAACTCTGGAGACAGAGGAAAGGCCCCACTCAGCCCCACGCCAGCCCCCTCGCCTGGCAGCGGGCACCCGCGGCCGTGTAACACAGACAGCAGAGACCACAAAACCTCATTGTGTGAAAAGCCGTACTCGGCAGAATAAAGAGAAGAGTTTCACCTCCTGGTGTGATTCCCTTGCTCTGCCCCATTTGGTGTGGCTGCTAACGGCAGAAGATAATAATGACCCAGGTGGGACTAGGGCTACTGAGACCCCACAAGGTTTCTGGAGGCACTTAAGCGCTCGGCAGTTTCCAGCCCGCTGGAAGCGATTAAAACACCGTGCTCCTCCTGCCAGCTTGTCGGTGCCGCTCCTCGGGCAGCTACACTGAACACTAACCAAGCTGCACGCTGCAGCAGCACAATCCCTCTTCCATACAGCGGCGACTATGAAAAAAACATAAATCAATGGGGGGAAAAAAAGAAGTAAAAAAAATTCCACTCCAAAGAATAGTCACGAAAATTCTTACCATCCGGTTTCATTCCGTGTTTACCTCCTCCTCGCACTGTGCCTGTGCACCCACCGAACCTCTGGGCACTAATCCCAATCCTTCCTGAGGGCATTCACTGCTGCAAACATACCCCGCGGCCAGAAATCGAGTCCAAACCCCTCCGGCTTCACAGTAACTGGGCTCAGCCTCATGGCCTGCAATAAACCCACTGCCCCTGGGTCCAGCCACCCCCCCCCCCGTGACACACCAGGCACTGGAGACGGCAGCAAGCTCTTCCAGACGCTCCAAGACCTGCTGAGGAGCGCGCGGTTCCTCAAGCAAACACACTCACCGTTGTTTTTATCCGAGCGTTGTGGGTGGCTGTTGATAGGGCTGGGCTCACCGTGGGTAGCCCAACGGGTATGGGCGATTCCAAGGTGTACATCAAACTCGATGTCGAGGTCCATGTCCTGTTGCTCTGCAGCAGAAGGAGGAGAAGTTTTTAGTACTGAGGGGCTGTCCCTACCCCAAAGTCAACGTGGGAGTCTCGCCAGGCCTCCGGGGTCCACAGGACAGCAATACTGACAGGGAAACAGAATCAGCAAATCCAATGAAACATCAAGCGTGTTTTCAGGGGATTCAGAACGCAGATGCACACAAGCAACCTCCCTGCACTCCTCACCCCGCCAAAATACAAAACAACATTTAAGAAATAATCCAACCTTAATTTCTCTCTCTGGGGTGCCCCTTGCCCTCCTGTCACCTCCCGTACACGCTCCGCTGTGACTGAACCGGCCCATTTCACGGTTACATACCACTATGGTTAGAATATTCATCATTAACCCTTGTCTCTAGAAAGCATACCGTTAACTTTAGTATTTCTTTGGGAAAAAAGATTCCTTTTGTTCTACAAGTGTCCCCACAATCTCTTTAAAACTCTATACCCTGCAATTTTCTTGAGCAGGCAGAAATATTTTGAGTATCTTCTATTTCTGTAATGCACATACCACCTCACCTGGCCTCTTCAGTTCCTGGTTTTCTCTACGCTTAGATCTGCCCACCTTCCCTTTGGATAAACAGCACTCCGCACTGTGAGGTTAACACTAGCACGAGGTAAAAAGAAGTGAAGTTACAACAACACAGCAGCTCTTGAATGCAAACTAGAGATCTCGACTCCTCTGAAAAGCATCTTCCCGTTCTCACACGGCGTGCCGCCACGCCACACCCAACAACTTTGTGTTTCTTTGCGTTCTGCACAGATTCAGTGAACTTAACGTTTAATTCGAGGGAACGGAAAGAGGTAGAAACGGATGCAGAAGACCTCGCTCTCTGTGTTCTCATCAATTTGACAGTTACACACACACGTTAGTGCTTTCCCGAAGCCAACTGCTTAGCGCATCGCTACTGGGATGGACAGCTTAGTTGGGACAAGCATTACATATGAAAATTTAAAATTCAACTGGTGAAGTTATTAGAGCATCTCTCTTTTTTGCCCAAGCTCTAGGTCTCTGATAATTATCTCCCAGTAATTCCCCTTTCCCCAGTTTAAGGAGTTTTTTGCTTGGGGGTTTTTTGGTCTGCTTTCTAAAATGTATTTCAGGTCTGTTTTATTTCAAGAGGATGTGACTCATTTGTCTTGAGAAACCAGGACTTCTCTGTAACTTCATGACAACATCCACAGGATCACTGGGTTCTTCACAGCACACATGTGAGTGTTTACATCTCTGGCACTTTACACACAGTTATTTGGAAATACAGTGTTTCTGGGCAAAACAGGTGATATTCAAAACACAAATGAGGTGAGAGGACATTTCAAGGACAGCGAGCAGGCAAAGAACGAAAGGGAAATACCTACTGTGAACCTCTTCGTCCAGAGCCTTCACTTTCCCCTTCTGTTTGATAAGCTGGATTTTGCAAGCATTAGCTTCCCAGTCTTTGTCGTTTCCGCCATCGATTCCCACACCTAAGCACCGCCACGGAATAATGAAGAAAGCAGGAAGCATATTACAGTATTTTATGTAAACAAATGCTGATTTTTTTTTTTTTTTTACAGTGCCCTTTCTCCCCTCAGCTGACCCTCCGAATAAAGGCAAGAGACCCCTTAGACTAGAAGTGAGTTTTCCCTTTGTCATCTTGCAGGTATTTTTAAAGCCTTCGACAATAGGCGTCAAGAACGTTACAGAAATCTGTATATGGAAAGTTAATCCAAACCTCTGACCACATGATCACAGGCACATCAATTTGTGTTTCAGCTTTCTTCAAAAGCAGAAGACAGTAGAAACCATTCGCAAACACACCACAAAAATCATCATTTACAGGCCAGAATTCAAAAAAGAACCGCTGTTGCTTGGAGAGAGTTACCTGCAGAATCATAGCCTCTGTACTCCAGCCGCTGGAGCCCTTTGATAAGGGTCTCCAGGATCTCCCGTCTTGTCCGGGGAACATGGTAGTTCAGGTAAGCAAAGATGCCTGTATGGGGGAAAAGAGCATAATCTTGTACCAAAATCACAGCTGAGGAAACTCTGTATGTGCCATCTACTTAGTAGGCACGCTAAGTTAAAACTCAAACAGGCCTTCGTACTGAGAACCCCCTGCAGGAAGGTACCACCGCACCTGCAGCTTTTCCTTACCCCACCTGAGGTCCAATGGAGATGTCGTCACTAACATTTAAGAGATCAAAACTAACCACAAAATGCCAGCATCCTTCTCATGACACTGAAAGCAACTGAACAGGACGAGCCTGGGCATGATGGGA